TCAAATTAAGCTTTTGAGTTGTCTAACCACTTAAGCTGCCCATACTTGTCATAAGTGTTATAATTTGTTGTATAAAGATGTTGATTTATGTTTATATTTTATTTTGACAGTCAAAAATATTGATGTTAACACAGAAAACATTTGTATTGTTTTCTTATAATAAATGTTAACATTGGCTGCATATCACGTTATTACTTATCAGAGCTGTTGAAGCCAGAGATTCACATTATTCCATTCAGCATGTTTTTACTTTATAAATAAAACATAAGATAAAATCAACATATTTGCAAATATATTGGATGAAGCCCTTGTACATGAAATAATAGATATCTACTCTAATTGTAGACTTTTGAAGGAAATTTATCCTGCTTGTTTTTTGTCTGACTTTGAAGCATACTGCCTTACAAAATCCCATGTAATTACCTATTGGAGTTACAGTATTGACAATGAGCATTTCAAACACAAGCTTTATATTTTTATTTAATGTTGAAAACATCACAGAAGTATCAAATGAACTAAGGTCAATATCCGTCTTTCCACTACCTCTGATATTTGAATACGACTGTCGCATTTCACCACTAGTGTCAGTTGCACAGCCTATTCAAATTGGTCATGAAGGAACCATTACCCTCGGCTTATTCACTAGCCTATGTTAAAATGATAATTTTAATGAATAATAAATGTAGTCTATGAATATATCCACGCAAAACAAATGACCCCCAAAATAAAAACATAGTAGGTTTAATGGGTTTAATCAATGTAAATAATGATCTAATAATCCAAAAATAATTATTTCTGCCATACTTATTCATAACCGCCATTTTACAGAGGGGGTTGGGTGTTTGCATTGGGCCCCCTATCTGATCAGGGCCTTTGGAATTGTCCTAACCTTCCCCCTGTTACAGCGGCCCTGGTTTTTACATGATAAAGTGGATAAATAAAATATATTGGTAATTCTAACCTCGTGCTAATAGTTTTGATTAGAATACATCACATCTGGACGAGAGGCCCTGAAGTAGGTGCAGAAATTCCTTAATCTGGAACACATACTGTAGATGAAACCTTGAAGTGAAGGTTTGCTCGCCAGAGCTTAACCTTGTTGCAATATCTGTATGTCTTCTGCCTCCCCGGCCCAGAGACTCAGAACATGGTCAGTCTGCTTTTGTCTCTCTAGGATGGAGACTCAGGATCTGTTGTTGTCTCACTGGACAAAGATTTTGAACATAGGGTATGTCTTTCCTCACAGGCTGGAGGCTCAGAATGTGGTTTTATCTGTTGCTGGAGACTCAGGGTGTGGTCAGTTTATGTATTTCCCTCATGGGCCAGAAACTCAGACCTTGGTGTTTCTGTTACTGTCCCACCGTCACAGGCTGGAGACTCAGAAGACAGTTGTGTCTGTTATTGTCTCTCCTCTTACAGGACTGAGACTCAGAAAGTTGACTGTATCTACTGTCTCCTACCACACAGGCTGGACACTCAGAACTTAGAGAGTCATTGTTATAGCTGTTATTGCCTCTTCCCTCACAGGCCAAAGACTCAGAATGGTGATGGTCTGCTATTGCCTCATTCCACACTGGTCAGAGACTCAGAACGTTGGTGATTTGCTATTGGCAGGACAGAGACTCAGAACAAGGAGTGTCTTTTGAAAGGGTACATTTATCCCTTTCCGATGAGAAGGAGATTGCAATTTGACGCTTCTCTATTTCAGTGCTGTGATTTGCTGTTTCCATCAAAGCAGGGGGAATACGGTGTGGCCCACCCTTATTTCCTCCTGTGGAACTTATTTGCATATTCCAAACACACATTTAGAAAAGTGTCACTCCCGCACTACTCTCCATTGGAAATGAATGGCTTGTGGTCTGTCAGCTAAATGAGGCATCTCAACCAGCCGGGACCAATGTTCCCTTTAATTTTTTTTCTTTCTGTGCAAAACTTTTCTCTATTGGGCAGACATTTTGGCCACCTGATCAAAAACATTCTTTATACCAGACCTGTACAGCACACACACAAAAAGGTGTGTACATTTTAACTTTAATTTGCTATTTATATTTGATTTGACCCTTGATGTAACTAAATGATGCACAGTTTAGGTTAACTGAGAAAACATCATCTGCCCATCATCTGCTATTTCCAACACTTACTCTTCTTTAAAGCAGTGGTTCTCAAACCTGTCCTGGGGACCCCCAACCACTGCATATTTTGTATGTCTCCCTCATTTAACACACCTGATTCAACTCATCAGCTCATTAGTAGAGTCTGCAGGAGTTGAACTGGGTGTGGCCTATGAGGGAGACATACAAAACGTGCAGTGTTTGGGGGTCCCCACGACAAGTTTGAGAACCACTGCTTTAAAGCATTATGATTTGATTTCACGTCTTTTCACAACGTTTGTGTTGGCTCTCGGTTTGAGCTATTTCGTCTGCAACCATTAAAGTATTTTATAGACAGCAGCTCATTTGGCGCACATCATTCTCTTTCTATGAAATCTGTTAACCGCATTCACCGGTTCTAACTCTATAACGGTTTTGCCCGAGCATTGCAATTATTTTGCATTTGCTAGAATTCAATCAAATGGCTTTCCCAACTCATTTTTGGCTCTGTGCGCAGCATGTTATTTCTTCTGTGCTGTCTCAAAGAAGTGTGCGGCTGCGCACGTGCACTTAGAGGGAACGTGGCCGGGACCTAACGCGAGATCCACTAATAAGAGAGGTTCCCGCATCTTAATCAGTTTTTGATTGGATAAAATTAATGGATAGCCCAGGTGACGTGAAAATAATGTTCACTTTTTCATAAAAGCATGAAACTTGGTACACTTGTATAGTTTGCGGCCCTAAACATTTTCAGAAATGGAGCCATCGCAAGATAAAATTAATGGATAGCCCAGGTGACATGTGAAAATAATGTTCACTTTTTCATAAAAGCATGAAACTTGGTACACTTGTATAGTTTGCGGCCCTAAACATTTTCAGAAATGGAGCCATCGCAAAAACACCTCATGGTTGCCATGGCGACCATTTTACTTTCCGCCATAACCAAATTATGTATTTTGTGTATTTATAACTAATATTTTATTTAATAATACATTAAATGATTGTTTTCAAGAATACTATCATATATTTCAGAGCTATTTAAAAAATCATCTCAGGTAAGTGTATTTTTCCTTACCACTCAGGCAGGCGGTAGTGTGTTTCCAATACATTCTTGTTCTCTCTCAACGATGCTCTAACATCACACGCGGATGGCAACGCAATCAAGTCAACAGTTAATGGTTAATTCAGTGACTTTATGAGAAGGATTACAATGAAATCTCAGAAGATGCAGTGTATTTATAACTAATATTTTATTTAATAATACATTAAATTATTGTTTTCAAGAATACTATCATATATTTCAGAGATATTTAAAAAATCATCTCAGGTAAGTGTATTTTTCCTTACCACTCAGGCAGGCGGTAGTGTGTTTCCAATACATTCTTGTTCTCTCTCAACGATGCTCTAACATCACACGCGGATGGCAACGCAATCAAGTCAACAGTTAATGGTTAATTCAGTGACTTTATGAGAAGGATTACAATGAAATCTCAGAAGATGCAGAATGAGATTTCAAATTTCACGTAAACTTAATTTACAATCACTCTCTGGGGCCAGAGTTGTTTATCATGTTGTCCACAGGGGGGAAGCCAGAGTCCTGCATGTGGGTGGGTACACACAGGTGAATCGCTAATATTTAATGTAATGGGTGGAATAATATTTATGTGTAGGGTGTGGTGTGGTGCGGGTGCGGGCCGGACGGTGACAAGCAAGGGCGGGCTGCGAGTCCAATAACCAAGACTATTTTGACTCGGTCCAGTACACGCTGAGCGATGTAGCCAACCGCACTGCCACTGATTGACAGCTGTAGTGATTATATTAAAGGGAGTGCTCTTTGCTTGCTTTCTGTATTTAATCTATTCACAATTTGAATAAAAGTTTTAATAAATGAGTTTTGTCTACCTCATGTGTTAATTCAGTGACTTTATGAGAAGGATTACAATGAAATCAAAGAAGATTCAGAATGAGATTTCAAACATATTTCACGTAAACTTAATTTACAATCACTCTCTGGGGCCAGAGTTGTTTATCATGTTGTCCACAGGGGGGAAGCCAGAGTCCTGCATGTGGGTGGGTACACACAGGTGAATCGCTAATATTTAATGTAATGGGTGGAATAATATTTATGTGTAGGGTGTGGTGTGGTGCGGGTGCGGGCCGGACGGTGACAAGCAAGGGCGGGCTGCGAGTCCAATAACCAAGACTATTTTGACTCGGTCCAGTACACGCTGAGCGATGTAGCCAACCGCACTGCCACTGATTGACAGCTGTAGTGATTATATTAAAGGGAGTGCTCTTTGCTTGTTTTCTGTATTTAATCTATTCACAGTTTGAATAAAAGGTTTAATAAATGAGTTTTTTCTACCTCATGTAGGAGATTTAATGCAGGTGTGGTTCGGGTAACAGTTTTCATGTCAAATGGGTTGGGTATGGGATTAAATTAGTTTTTCTGTCAAAAGTAAAATGGTCGCCATGGCAACCACGAGGTGTTGTGAAAATGTTCAGGGCCCTAACCTGTACAATTGTACCAAGTTTCATGCTTTTATGAAAAAGTGAACATATCACCTCAAATTTTGCACATATCACCTGGACTAGGAGACTATCTCATGTTTTTTCTGTAGTTGCTCGGCCATTCCCGTGGGTGCTCGAACCCCTGATCACCCAGGAGATCAGTGCGTACGATGTTGGTTGAGTAGCGCTAGTCTAACAGTTTTTTCCAGGAAGGCAGTGCAACCGAATAGCCTATCACAGACACCAAATATTTCCGAACAGAGGTCGGGTTTCCTCCTTAAAGCACAGATGGGCCAGTAACAAAAGAACAGACATCTCATTGTATCTCGCGATCAGGGCCTTAGAAAAGTCAATTGAACATCTATAAATTCGGTCATTAGCCAGCAGCATCACGGAACAATGAGCGAGACCGCTATTTCATTTGCCCAGGACTTTTTGGCCGCTGGAATCGCCGCTGTGATCTCGGAGACTGCTGTTGCCCCCATTGAAAGAGTCAAGCTGCTCCTTCAGGTACGCTTTACAACAGACTTGTATAGATTACTCTTCGCACGTGTAACATGCATTACATTATAAATTAGGTATTTAGGTTTTTTTTTTTCACACGTTTGTCCATCTTGGTTAATATTGAATATGCTTTTGTCCAATATTGTTAGATCATGCTCTTAATGATACTGCATAACTTTGTCTTATAATGAAAATTAGCTGGAGCAATGATGATTATTAAATAAAAATGTGCCAGGAGCCATAACTGTTGCTATAGAAATGAACGCATCTTCCACAAGCATCTTTTTCACACAACCGCGCACTCTTTCAAGGTTGTTAATGTTGTTAACCAGTCAGCTTCTTATATCAAGTTAAAGAGCATTAAGTTAAAGCAAACGTTATCATTCAGCATGCATGTGCGTTTTAGACACTTCTTTCTTTGTGCGGGCATTCTAGTTTATTTATTTCGGCTGTTCATATAGGCTAGTAATGTAAATGGTAAGACCCCTTTCAGGGGCAGACAAAATTACAATTTAAAATTAGTCATAGCTATAGAAATGTATCTCCATATTATAATATCTACAAAATATATTTCTGCAAGTACATATGAGACTACCCCCAACCCACACATACCCTGCATATTGACGGCATCACACAGCAAAACAGATTACAATCAACACGATTTTTGTCGACTCGCCGTTTCCATTGGTGTAAGGTCATTTGTAAGGTTAGGTTTAGATTTAACATGGGCTGTGGATACATGATATTTTAGTAACAATATTCAAGGCTAACGGTTATGAAAACAATCTAAAAAATCATAATTTATGTGGTCAATTTATTTATTTGTCTAATTGTGTTCTTTTTCAAGGTTTTTCATTGAAACTTGTATTTTATTTTACTTTTCATTTTAGTTCAATGTGTATTGAAATATCATAATTGAGAACAACCCATTGCAAATATTGAGCAGCGTTTTTGCAGGCTTAAATGGCACTGCAAGAAGGGGATGCCACACTTTGTTCCAAACGAAAATGTGCAACTTAACCAGAGATGCTCTTATTATGACTTAACGTTACTTACTTATGCATGAAATGCGCTTCATCAAGACCGTTAGTGAATGCTATGTGAGATGGTTTCTTCAAGGAAGTAATTTAACATTCTATGATCATGTGGCCCTGGTTAAAGAAGGTGGAAGATCTGAAGTTGTTTTGTTGTGATATATTACACACATTTTGTCATGCATGAAAAATATTTCATAGTTTAAATAAGCTTTGTAGGCAACAAATGTTTAACACAACATACATTAGGTAAATATAACTACCTGTTAAATGTACAAATGTACAGTGTTTCACAGTTCTATTGGATTATAGTTGTCTAAAGCGGCTTGAGCAGTTGAAGGTTTCTAGGGATGTATGAAACTTGTAATGCTAATGTTAATTAACCATTGAGTTCTTTTATTCTGGTTAGCGATCAACTTGACCCAATTGACCTATCAGTAAGCCCCTCCCCTCGAACGCAGATGAGCCAAACCCTTTAGTTTATGTCTGTTGGCTTTAATGACATTTGTATACTAATGCTGATAAAGGTAGCAGATCTAAGAATTTAAAATTTGGTTTATTTTCTGAAAGCAGACCAATAAATGTTTTGAAGAGGTATTGAAATATTTCACGTCAACTGACAACTTGGTGTCTTGTAACTGGTGACACAAAGGGCATGTAATACATTTGAATTGGTTAAATGATGTAGTGATATTTGATAAATTGATTGATTGATTGATTGACAGTGTTGGGCAAGTTACTTCCAAAATGTAATACATTATATATTACTAGTTACTGTCTTTTGAAAGTAATTAGTTACATTACAATATTACTTTCTCTGAATTGTAATGCGTCACACTACTTTTGAGTTACTTTTGAGTTACTTTCA